GGTTAGAGTGGAAGAGCCCGAGCAGAAATAGGATAAGGAAAAGAGTCGGCGATATAGCTTTTGATCTGATCCAGAGTGGCCAAATCCCTGAACTTCACATAACGAATAGAACCTTAAAACCTGCTGCGTCGAGGATCTCCGCATTGTTGTGAATCATCGAAAATGACCGCAAATCGCACTGGAGATGAACGATGGGTTTCGGCAGAAAAACAATACGACCCATTTGGTTAGTGTAATGCGAAAACTTTAGAGCTGTGCTAACGGTAGCCCCTGTTTTTTCCACATTCTCTCTATTATGATGGAATTGCGCAGGCAGTCGCGGGCAGAATCGCCGGGGTCAGCGCCTGCTTGCCTCAATGCCTGAGTTGTCATTACGCCATTGCGGATCCATCTTCTTCAAATACGAAAGGCATGACATTTTTCACCGTATCCAATGCGAGTACTGTAGCTCTACTCTATGCATGAAGGTCTCCCTATGGAGGATGGTACTTTACAGGGTCATCAGTCAGAAATCCTCTTGTTGGCAAGATTAGCGGTGCTAAGCCGAGACCTACGATTGCGCAGCCCTTGTGATAAAGGGCGCAACCTCTTCAGAACCGGTGATCAACCTCTGACTCTCAAAAACATCACTTTCCCTCTTCGTTGTGGTTTTCGAGCATCTTTTCAAAAACGTTACCCCCCCCCCGCTCACCCCAATGTTACTTTCTGCGATTTTATGGGCCGACGAGATGATAAGAGTTAGGTGAGGAAATAAAATAAGGTCCAGCTAACTCACCAAAACGTTAGAGTAGTGAGCGGCCGATAGCTTTTGTGGCTTTGGGGCGAAGCGATTGGGTGACCCCAGTAATCCGTGCTGAAGACCTGAAACATCCATTTGGACACCATTTCATTGTTCACTCAAATTGTTGAGCATATTTTCACTGGTTAATAGCTTTAAATAACGGAGGGGGCTGTCGCAATATATGGGGTCATCCTCGATGACTAAGCTTACGAGGAGGCTCACGCGGCTCAGAACCTCTCTTTCCCCGTCCAGGGCTTAATCGAATTTTTTGAAAAGAAATGTTTTCCGCGGTTTTAAACGCATTGCCATCAGAATGCCCCCGATATTGCGATAGCGCCAACAAAGGCATTATGAGGATAGCTCCAAATTACGGTAGTGAGTTCGCCTTAGTTTGAAATTAGACCAAGATAATTTCGACTGTAGTTCTCGGAGCATCAGAAAATCTCTAAAGGTCAATGCCCGCAAGCGCAAAAAGTCCAGCCCCTCCCCCTCCACATTCGTGCCACAATTCCGCTGCTGAACAGTATGACCAAACTTACAAGTCAGAGGCTATGCCTAAAAAATGGATCTGGGAATCTGCATTCTTCTACCCACTCTTTTCCTTATGCGCGCTAGATCTGAGGCGGTGTTATGTTAATCACCTTCCACCTTGCCATCAAGTGTTTTCATAGCGATCGTTTTGAAGACAAACCTGTTTGATGCTGCCTCGGCCATTCACAATGGGATTGTTGAGTACAGTGGCCGCGTCATCGAACACGAAATCGCCATTCAACGACGGCAAAAACGGACCGGTGGCCAATGCCATCACCATCACGACCTTCAGACCGGAGCTGCTTCAAGAGTGGGGGACACTTGGATGGAACATCTGAAAATGGCCTTCAGATAGATGCTCAGGGCTATACATTTTGTTTCTTGCTGAGATTTCCCATCCTTGATAAGTTGTGGGAGCGCGCAATAAACGCTCAGCAGGCACAAAATTGAGAATCAAATGTATTAATAAATTATTGATGAGTAGACCGGCATGGAAGCCATAGTATACGGCGAAAACGGGCACCGTGCATAACGTGGTAGGCGGCACTTGCCCAGTAGCCGAGAGGTTGTGGTTCGAGCCGCTGGGGCGGAAGAGGTTGTTGTTGATAACTCAGATATTAGGGAAACGCATGAGAATTAAGTTCGGCTAGGTTCGAAGTAAAAGCTGCATTTGTCTTCATCCTTCTCTCTCTCTCTCTCTCTCTCCATCTTTTCAAACGGGGTGGGTGGGTAGGGGGAGGGGGGGGGTGGAGTGAGCGAGGGAGGTGTAGTAATAGTGACGAGTAGGAGCAAAACAGCGATGTACAACTCTCATCACTTTGTCTGACTCTGTGTCCTGAGTGCTGGGCTCAACCCTTTTTACTGACAGGATAGCGATGAAGCGCAGTTCATGGGAGAACTCACTCACTACCCCTGGCTCACAGACCCCCCGATTAGGCCGTATTTTCACCCCACCCACCGCACAAACTTCGCTCTCATCCCCTGAGTCGTCACACGATTTCATTACTATATCCAATTCGTTAAGTGCATGCACTACTACCCATTGTACCATTCCATAAAGCAGCTCGTGTACTCTAAAATTGTACGCCTTCTTCATATCATGGGTATGACATCATTGGTTTTATTTCCAGGTCCATTTGATGCTTTTATTCCGAGGTTCTTGCAGAAGAAATCGAATACTGGCCGATGAAATGCCCTGCATGAAAAGAAGGTGCAGCAGCCGTCGCGCTCGCTTGCTTACTATGCCCACTTAATGCGTAGTAGGATTAGAAGAAAAGCAGTCCTCTGCGTGATTTATGGAGATGGCTGGCCACCGGGGTGACTAATGAAGGAGTGACTTCCCCTGCTTCGTCGTCGTGAAGTTGAAATTATGAAATAAGGGCGAAAAATCAGTGAGACAAAATGCTACTGCTGGTGTGGGATATTGCAAAGAAATTTTCCAACTCACCACCCCCATCCTCTCGTCGTTTCGACTTCGGCCGCCCACGCTTCATTTCATTGTCCAGCACGATCGCCACACTGAGGGCTATAAAACTTTGAACATGGAAACATTGAGAACAAGAAAAGCTATCGAAAAGGTTTCGGAACGAAAAAAGGCAGTCGCATGATGGGTAGCTCAAAGAGAAGCCAAGCACAAAAGAAGGGAAAAGGGGTTTCTGAAGGTTTCAGCTTTCGCTCAAAGGCAAATCCCGGCATTAGTCCGACTAGTAGGAGGGATACTACGAGGGAAATTGTAAGGACGAGGAAAATTGTAAGGTCCGTACCTACCTAGATCACTCCAGCTTCGTCGCTAAAATTGCGCGGTTAGGGCGCTAATCCTTACGGGCCTGCAACCATCGACCCCGATTCCAACGCTTCCCACCCACCGCGAGAGATGGTGAGATCGGCGTGCATTGATGTAGAGATCAGCGTGAACCTCTCGCATGTGGTGTCTCGCGTATCTGGTCTTTTTGATCGCCCTGCCTCGCCATCGTTCCCCATCCGAACCTCACTGAAGGTTAGGAGCTTTAGTTTCAGCGGTTTCAAAGACTTCTCTTGCTTTCCTTCCCACTGTTCAGGTCGTTCCGCAGCTAAGCTATCACCACGCGAAAGCGCGTAAATGAGCACCAGGCTTGATCCTGCCGGGTTTCCTTTATTGCACAATACTGAGGATCAATACTCCGGAACGAGATAGCTCGACGGCCAAGAGGGGCGGAAAATCATGGGAAGCGAATTTCTGTATGGAACGAAAAAGAAGGAAAGGAAAGAAAGGAAGGAAAAGAAGGAATTAAAATGAAAAACCACTAAAAATCTGTGGACGGAAACACCTGAAGCACTCGCCTGAAAGGCTACACAAGAGATACCAAATAGAGAAGAGAATGGCCCGCTCCTCAGCTTTCGCTGAATTTACTTTGGTCACGTTGCAGAATCTTGACCAGGACGCTGAGAGGGAGAAAATTGTGGGTTCGGAGTGTCTGATCCATAATAAGCTTACCATCATATTGCCACACAAGGATGACCGATGGAGTTGGGCAAATCTAGCATAAATCCCTGTATGGGAGCTTTCCTACGAGGGAAAGAGGATTCAAAGAATAATGAAAGGCTATAGAGAGGCTAGTTACAAAATAAAGAGGTGTGGTTCGAGTCGCCTCTCGGAACCTGAGTGTGGACTTAATCCTGCAAGTTACTGGCAATCAAGTATTCAGAGACCTTTGCAACTCTGAGTTCAAACTGAACACGTAGTGCGATGGAAAACTCTACAACGAACAATTCAATAATTTTATCTTTCAGTCATAGTCGGTAATTCTGCCAAGCTCTCACTGATGTAATTCGACTTGAAAATAAGCTATTTTCGGAAGAAATTGGAAAGTGGCCCTCAAAAAATCGCAAGAGTTCAACCACTGTACGACTCGGTGTTGTGGCCGCTTAGCACGGATTATAGTCCACTCATTCATGCGCTATTCCAGCTTAGTTCAGCAGGATATTAATGGTGTAGTGCACCTGAGATGCGCATTAATAGGGAATGAATATTCATGGAGGTGTACAACCGCGGCAGGTGAGATCGGGCTGGGGTTGACTGAGTGCCTTTTCCAGTTGCAAAAGGCGATGAAAGACAGGAAAGAACAGAAAACTTGAAGGGAACTAATTAATACTACCCTCATGGTCAGAAGTTCAAGGATGATTCATGCCTCCATCAAGTTCTTCAAGGTCGAAATCTCTAGTTTCTGCTTGGGAAACGCCTTCTCCATGCTTCAGCCGTCATAAACCATGAGATGAGGATATAAAGCTGTCTGCGCTCCGCGCTGGAAGATCTCAATCTTTTAATCGCGTCCATCTGTGCAATGGCCCGTGGGGTGTGTGGATTAGTGGCACGGGGTCGAGCATTAGCCAACGAGGACGCAGAGACCACGCGAGTTCGAATTTCAACTCGTTGGTCAGATTAAGGGAGCACTGTTTAGTCGATCTAAATGGAAGGGACTTTTGGATCGTGGGTTATCCATAAATGGAGAACTGAAGAACTGCCCAACTTTGCTTCCCTCTGCAATGCTGAGATTGATTAGCAGCAAGGAAATTAAGCAGGCGCTATCGCAAGATACGGGGGCATCCTCTGGACTAAGCGGGGAAAATAAAAACTGCTCACATGTACATCCAGGGGTTCTCCTTTCCCGCCAAGTCTTAGTCCCATTTCCAACCAAAGGGACATGTTTCACGCGGGCCTAAACGAATTAGCACCACAATGCCCCGTATTTTGCGATAGCGCCATTAAGCATTTTCCCTAGGTCTTCAAAAGTTGAACGAGAAAAGATTTGCACCCACGCCAGGGCGCAAACTTTGTCCCATGCCCATGAATTTGGGCATTGGATAAGGAAGCAATCAGTCACATCACTGTTGTACATAGAGAGATTTCTTTAACGGAAAATAGGCCAAATGGTGTGGTCTTGTGCTAATGGGGCTTAGAGATGTTTGGAGAGCTCTGACCATCAGGGATTACGTAATGCTGATGGGCAGCTGGTTGGATAGAGCTATCCGCGCTCAAAGAAAGGATGCCGACAACGTCTTTTCATGAATAGCGCTGACAAAGAGACGGAAACGCGGGCCAGCGAGCGGAAGATCGCAAATTCGAGCCCAGAGTGATGTCAGTACGGCAGTAAGGAAAGTGCAACTGAGGAGATCATAAATGCTGAACCCTTAAATTCAATACACAAGGGACACAAAGTTGGACCACAAGATTCCAAGCGCTTCAGTATGATACACAGTTTCATTATGCGGCAACCGCACACAAAAGTGCCTAATAATCGCAGAACATGATCAAAAGTTGATGTGGGATACCAAGCAAGGCGCTGTTGTTAGATGGAAATCTGAATTGGTTCGAACCAAGAGATTCGAGTAATAGAATGCGGCAATAACTATAAACTAACGAATGGGGAACTGTTTCAAGGATGATACAATTTACGGGAAACGCCATGAGCCATCCTCCGTTCATAAATCGTAGCTCCGCCGTCAGATGATTGACTAACACAAAAACGTAAACGTACTTTTTTTTCTCTCAAGAGCATTTAGTCGAGCAAAAACGCCTTAAGAGAGCGAAGGATTGAATGTGACGCCTGATACAACAAATAGCGTACAAGGTGCCTCCGGGGAGTGGAGGGGGGGGGAGGCGGCCCTGTTAGGAAGGCCACAAGACCACCGCGTCGACGAAAGAGCAAAATAAGGTAAATGAATTTCTCACGTACCTCGGATAACCTTCTTCCATGCTGGGACCCATCCTTAAAAGGAATGTTTCCTGCGGAAATCTTCCGCTAGATTGCGTTTTTTTGCCAACTCCCCCCCCCCCACCCCCGGAGTTACACTGGGCCACGAACGATATTAGCTTAATAAGCATAATAATAATAGTTAAGAAACAAATTTTTGAATTTCAATTCTTTTTATCAATTGTTTGTTACAAATGATGTAGACGATGTTTTGTTATAAGTTTACAAACACTTGAATTTCGTTCACAAATAGTGGCTCAAAACCTATATAAGGAAATCCAGATTCAATTCCAAAGGAATCGTGGTAGGGCAGGAAAGTTAGACAAAAGGAACTTGGGCAAAAACATAAAAATTTCTATAAGAGGAAGACGGTTTGTCAAGATCTGTTTCAATCGACGAGCTTTTCAGCAGAGGTGGAGTAGCGGTACCTAGAGACGTTTATGGTCCGTGACACGGATTCGTAAATCTGAATGACGCGAAGGTCACTTGCAAACGACCAGGGGACCGCGACAAATTCACGGCAGGCAAACGCAAAAACGTGGCGCCGATGGGCGGAGCACGAGTGAAAATCGCGCCCCCATCAGAGGAGTCACAGCTACTCGTCTTTATTGGCAACGCTGTCGGGATAGAGAAGCGCTTCAGCCAGAAATGTCAGCCAGCCGTGGCAAGACGTTGACATTCAGAACAGCGCTTGTCAAATATGTAGATATTGCGCCTTGGGACCTAGCAAGTTACTGCCAAGGTACAAAGAGAATATCCAAAAGGCTATGCTTTAGGTCGTTCCTGGACCAAAAAGAGCAAGTGGCCGTCCACGAAACAGCGTGAAGTGCCGAACATTCAATAAAGACATGGACTTTTAGGGACAGGGCGGACTTCTGCGCAAAGTCAGCGATGAAAAGAATTAGCCACCCGCTGTGCTCAACAGCACGGGAGGAACTAACCATAAGTCTAGGTAAGTACCAAAGAGAAGGAGAAGAAGTGAAAATTACGCATTCCCTTCAGTGGAATGACAGACCAAAGATGGATGTTGTGCTAGTTGCCACAAGTGTCAGTTGTCCTGAGCACGTTGTTGACGTCTCCGGAAACGAGTCATTTAGCGCAGTTCTGACATTCAAGTGCGCTGTAATCGCTCTGCGAACTAAACGTATGCGAGCGATGACTACGGACGTCATTCATTACTATCCGGAGAGCAATTGCCCCCGAGTTTTTCAGAGTGTCCTTCGCTCAACAGGAGCCATTCTACTGATT